TTGCAAACAAGGGCAGGTGGGCTGTTTTTAAAATCAGCTATTTTAATCTTGTCTTGCATTTGTACTTTTAAGTTCTTCCCAAATAAAACTTGATTATCATTAGTTGGTAACCATTAAAAAATATTGATTTGCAACTAACTATACGTAGCCTTTCACACTAAACTTTGCATTTTTTGTTAAACAGGATGATATGTTCAAGCTATGTAACTGCTGACATAAATAGAATATGCATAAACACACACATTTATAACTTCCATTTTTTGGTACAATGTTAGAAAATGGTAAATGAAACATTTATAAAAGCTGCATTTGGAGTGAAATTGGAATTTATTGCACAAATACAGCATTTTAAAATGTTTAATGTTTTTCAAAACATGTTTTACATTTAAAACTAGTTTATTAAATAAAGAAATATTAAATAGGGATGTCATGTATAGTCCACTATACAATTACCGATAATCCTGGGTTTATGTGTTAATCTTGTTGACTGCATGCACTTCCTCCTTGCTGCCTCTGTCAGAGGCAGCACGGTAGGGGGAGCGGGAGCCGGTGCCTGTGAGGAGCTGGCTTTAAGCAGGCTCCCCACGAACACCGGATCCATCTGCCACCTGATAAAGGAGGCAGCAGCGCAGAGGGTGAGAGGAGTGGGCTGGAGCCGATATGCAAGGTGAGCTGGCTTTTGGCTTTCCCTGTGTGCCGGCTCCGTGGACTGCCGTCCCATCCCATCTCCTCTCCCCCTTCTCTCCCCCCCTCCCCACAGCAGCAGCATGTGGGGACAGGCAAGAGCTGGTGCTGAGGGGAACTTTGCTTAAAAGTCGTTCCCCGCCCCCCCCCCCCTCCATTTTCCCCCAGCAGGGTGGTGCTGCTCCTTCCCCTCCCCACACTGCTGCGCCTGCAGAGCAACAGCGTGGAAAGGGGAGCTGGGGAGGCTGCTGCGAAGCAGCCTCTGTCCACAGTGACCCAGGCTCACCGCGGACAGAGGCTGGGGCCCCGGGGGCGGCCCCCTCCCCGGGGGG